GAAGAAGGCTCCACATCCGAAACATTGTGTTTCTTTTCTTCTCTTTTCAGTATGGAATAATCCTTTATTTGTTCCATCATTGAACTGTGTATAGCAGAATAGGATTTTAACACTTCATATCTGAGATAAAGACAGCGACACTTACAGGTAGGTTTAGGTTTTAATTAAGTTAATTAATATTTTTTGTTATAATAAAACAGCATTGAGAAAGCAGGAGCACACTGGTTGCTATAATACATAGAATGTTCTCATAAACAATGTCTACACAATTATTAATTGTAATATAAACACTCCCTCCCAAGAAAACCAACTTAAGTACCGAGTATTGCTTCATTAGTTGAATGTTTCATACTTGCACCACCTACTGGTTTATGATAAAAGATATATCTTACAGTTTAAACAGGCATACACATTTTGTTTTTGCATTTGTGTTATTCAAAAAGAGTAATTGCAGTTTATTGGCTTCAACATGAATGTCAGTCAAATTGGGCTATTCTGCTATCATTGTGAAAATATTATTTGCTATAATTTTTTAACACAATTAAATGAAATACCTACACTATGTCATCAGGTTTGATTAATCTAATACTGTATGAACACAATACCATATTGTTTTGTAGAATCAATTCCATTGTAGTGTTGTTTATTTTTGGGCCTTTTAAGGCAACAACACAGCAGCTGCATGTTCTCTCTGAAGGAACAGCTGGGGTGTGACATTGCTGAAGTAATCTATCATTGATTGAGGTCAGGTGTCACATGCTTATACAGCAATCTGGCAACCAAAAGGCTTCTGCTGATCTTTTATTTAATGAAAGTAACAGTGTCATGAGGTCAGTTTGAATTACCGATTTTTTTTTACATGTTTATCGTCTGTCAGGAAGAAATCTATTGATTTATTATGTTGGTTTTCATAGCAGTGCAGGATCACAATGCATGGTTAATTAACAGTTTTACAGAACCAATGTTGAATCATTGTGCACTACCTTTCATTTCCTTTGGTACACCTATGCCCTGAGCTGGACTGGTGTCCTGTCCAGGATGTATCCTGCCTGGAGCCCAGTGCATTCTGGGATAGGCTCCAGCTCCCCTGTAACTCTGAATGGGAAGGAGAGGTTAGATGCATGCATGGTACACCTTTGCAGATGCTATTAAATAGACATCAGAAAAAGTGAAAAGAAAAAACTTATCTCTTTAAGAAGCAACTTGGATAAGACAATTTTAAACATATTGATGGTATTGAGATTGGGTCTGTTGCTCTGTTTAAGTTATTTTCTGACAATTACTGCTTACATTTTCCAGAATCAGCAGACTCTGGGGCTCCACTGCCAAAATGTTGTGTATTCACTTTTTTTTTCTACTAGCCTAACCTCGTTTGGTATTCAGTTTAGTAAGGTATCTTCCTTACTGATTTTACAGAAAAAGGAAATGAGAGCATTCCATCTTGTTAAAATTATTAGTGGATTGGGTAAAAAAAAAACATGATTGGTATTATTTATTGTAAGCCAAACTGCTAAAAAAAATAGTTTGTGAATGCAAGACATCCCGTTTTATTCAATTCATACACTCTAAAATATGTATTTTCAAAACTCTAAATAAAATAAAAAATCTTCCAATAAATTTTTGCTTGAGTAAGTACATCACAAACTCATTAACCTCAGTTATACCATTTTCATTTATTTAGACTTTGATGAAGCATTGATGACTCATTACAACATTTTGGTGACATTCCAAAGGTTATGTTACTGTGGAATGTTTAAAAAATGCACTTTAAACAAACAAACAAAATGCAGCCTTGAAATGTTAATGAAGTCAAAAGGCTGTCTTAGCAAAAGATCAGGCTGATTTTTGTTTACAGCTGTAGAGTTCCTAGTCTAAAGCATAATACAGAATGCTAGTGAGATTCTCGCTACAATTGGCAGGAATTCATACAATCTAATACTTATTTTGCACACTTCAATGTCAATTACCTGTGGTTTTCACGAATGTGAATCTGCTTGTTCACAGTTTGATTTACATTTGAATATATTAGAAATATTTAATTAGACTAGAAAATTAGTATTTATATTAGAAAATAATTACAGCCCCCCCCCAAACAAACAAAACAGAGTCAGATTTCATGAGCCATAACTGATATTCCACACAACCAAATTTTTTTTTTTCCCTTTTCAACACAGGGTTTGGACTCCTTTCTCCAACGCAAGGCTATACTTTGACAGCCTGCTGTTTCTGGCTGACAGTTTGTGTGGGTGGTTCTTCTCTTCTCCACTCTGGTTTAAAGTGACATTTTCAGGTGGCGGACGGTGGGCGCAGTGACAGGAAAACAAAGTGGCCTTCACAGAGAACACCCTCAATGCTCCTTTCCGAATTATTTATGATGTTAACATTTTGATGAAAGAGAATGCGGCAGCTCTCATTCCCTCTTAACCCTTTTTATGTCAACAGGGGGATCTTCCTGTAATTGGAAAAAGCCTGCTGGGGGGGCTCGTTTCCCACAGCGCAAGGAGACAGGGGGTGTCCATCCAGGTCCAAGAGTTATAATCGTCTCAGAGAAGGGCCGAGAGGGAGCTCCATCAGAAAAATTTAGCCTAGCTGACGGATCGTGTGATACAGAAGGATATAGGGTACAAAGATCTTTCAAATTAACACTAATCCCTGTGCAGGGATTTTTTTTTCTCTGTATTTATACAGAAACTGAGTTAAATACATCTAAATTTATTAAACAAAAAAAATCACAGCCACAGAAACCGAGGGACCAAAAAATGATTTTTTGTGTAACAATCAGAGCTTCTTCTACTGTTCCCCATAGTAAAGCCAATCTAATTCAATTTATAAACATATACTCACTTAGGGCTGGGCATCATCTCCAATATAAATATATAAACTGACACACCCAATATGACAGACGATTAAGAAAAACACATTTATGATGGTGAATCCACATTGCTAAAATTGGTGAATCCAATATTGCTAAAATCCTGAAAAGTAGATGTAAATATCCACCAAAAAAAAGTTTGGCATTTTAAGGTCTACAGGTATACCAAAATGACTTGTATTTCAACTGGACATGAAAAAACTTGGTATTCAGATTGACAAGAGCATCAGTGGTTTTCATATTTTAAAATATTGCAATATCTGGACACAATCTATGCTGGACTGGGTAAGACAGCCCAGATGGAAAAAAAAAAGTTTTACAATTTTCAATGAAAACATGGCAATTACCCTATTTTACCCTATTTTGCTGGCATTGCAATCCAAATAAAACAAGCAGTAAAACTAGTGTCAAGACTGAACTAATAAACTGTGGTATGTAGCTATCAGCAGATCTAAGACCCTCTTGGCTTGAGTCAAATATTTTAGAAGCAACTAAGCCTGCAGCTAGCTGCTGCTGCAATGCTACACTTTGGTATTTTATGGCAGGGTCTCATCAATTAGGAGTATATTTCACCTGACATTACAACTTAGAACAATGGAAGTACTGTATGTCAATAATCATGTATTTTGAACAGAAATCAAGTTACATTAGGTATTAAGTGAATATAATGAAAACAAATATTCCTAGCTTTTAACTTTTAGTATGTGTGCTTTTAAATCCATTTTTTGGCAACACATTGGAATAACAGGACAAAATAGAAAAAAAAATATTTCAAAACATGTTTTGTTCAATTTTAAAATCAGTGAGTCGTTAAATGGTTTTTGGCTTAATCACTGCCATAGACCACACACAACTGACTACCAAGGGAGAAGAATGTTCTCCGACCAAGGCAAGTAGAAAGTAACAATCAACTAAAATCGAACCATGTCCAGCAGGTAGTCAAGAGGACATTCACATTTGCTGTTGGTGCTGCTTGTTCTTTTGGCGCTTGCTCTGGAATGAGCAGCGCCGGAGGTCTTCCGGTCCGTGGGCAAACGCACAAGACTCGGGGGGCAAGGGGCAACCCTGTGGGTGGTTGACGTGGAACCAGCACAATCGTGTCTTGAGCAGCTCTGAGGACGTCTTCCGCTTGCTCGTCCTGCCTCCTGTCTCCATTCGCCAGTCACGGATCCCAACTCTTCCCCCTTCAACTGCACCATGGTGAAAAATACCATTAAAAATGCTGGCTCATATTAAATCATTGCAGCTTCATAATGTATATATACAGTATGAAAATTATATTATAGTCAAGAGAATATCAAAGAACTAAGCTTCTAGAATCTAATATAATGTGAAATGCATATTTTAACTGCTTTTGAGCAGACCTCGTTTTCATGGTAAATATACAATTTTTGCATTCAAAATGCAATATCTTTAGAAACTTCTCAATAATTATTTAAAATAATTTAAAATAAGACAGTCAAACGTCTTTAAAAACTTGGAATAATTAAAGGAGTTAAGTTTTTGACATTTAGTGAGCTGAAGATGTGCAAGCAGTGTAATTATAACAAAGCAAAGCATGCAGATCTGCAAATCTGTGTTAAAACGTAAAGCTAATTAAAATCAGGCATGTGCATCTCTGGAAGTGACAATGCACCTTATGTGAAATTATCTCAAATATTTTCTTAATCTTAAATAGTTGTTATAAAACATAACATTAATATAAATGTGCATAAACTCCTGAAAAATCTGTGTTAAAAATGATCCAACCACACTGAAACCTGTTGACACTGAATATACTTGTACAGTGATAATGGTGATTTTAAGATAAATAGAAAATTCATAGGTTTAGAGTCAAACTAAATATGATTAAGTGCTACGAGAACAATGAGCAGACATGATAATGTCCTTTACTGGCATGAAATGAAGGCAACATTTGTGCAAAAGCAGAGCAAATTAAAGCAAGCATTAATTTGATCTGCTTTCTCAAAGTGTTAGCGAAAAGCACTAACTTTTACTTCTATAGTTGCTCATCCAGGCCTTGCTCTGCCTAGGTGAAGCCATTTTCTGCTGAACTGCTCACGTGACCACATTTCTTTAATTTAACCATCTTTAAACCTTTTCTCTGTAAATGATATTCAAGTATAACCCATAAATAAAAAAAACCTTGTCATAATAAAGGAGTAACATTTATAAATCGGTTGATTTTGAGTTGGGCATGAAATGCACCCCCACCATTTACTTTACATTTCTGAATAACACAGTTTCACCTAACATGAAATACCTGTACACTGTATGAGCACTGCTTTGACTATGAATTAATGAAGGTTTTCTGTATAACTTTTAAAGGGCTCGCTGTTTTACCCCCATCCCTATTAATGACTAACATTTATTCTCACGTTTTTCCTATACATCTGTACTTTGCAATGATTGGTCATAATGGTGCAGTTAGAGCTGCTGTCTCTCAGCTGCAGGGTTCTGGGTATGATTCTGGCCTCAGGCATCTGTGAACTGTTTTCCAGGAGCTCCAGCTTCCTTCCAAAGAGACATGATGGATAGGTTTGATTGACGGTTCTAAATTGTCAGTTTCCCAATGGCCCTGTGATGGACTGACAATCTCTCAGTCCTGCTTTGTGCCCATATGCTCCCAGATTAGGGTCCATTTTGCCATAATCATCCACACAGGTACTAAGAGGTAGTCTCCAGCTATCTTAGAACCCCAGACAATGACAAAGGGTTCATACAGCATTCCTCCTTGATGATTTCCAGATTATGAGAATAGGCGATGCTTCTTGCTGTTACTAATTACCATACCAAACAGCTGTTGAAAGCTTAGCACACAGAGCTCTGGCCATGCAAAGGATATCCAAAGCAACATACATTTGTACCTATTTAGACAGCTGGGCATTTTACTGGGGCACTCTGGTTAAAAGACCATGTTCAAGCATAAAAGAGCAGTGCCCCACCTAGGATCTGGTCTCACAGCTTGCCACTTCTGGCAAACGTAAAGAGGACAACCTACCATTCCTTCAGATTAACAGTGGGAAGAGTAGAAGGCTTCAAATTCTAACAACCATTCAATGTGGAGAGACTGGATAGACAAGATATAGACAGGAAGGCTGAGTTCAAAGCAACACAGCCTCAATCCTGTCTTCAAGGAGAAACATACTTTGGCGTCTGACAACACCCATAACTCCCCAATCTGCTCGACAGATGTTAATGCCAGCAGAAAAACAGCGTAAGAATGGGACCCACCACTCTCCAGCATGGACCATTATTGTTACTGTAGCAAACAAAGAATTCCATACCTTTGAACACCTGATGATTGTTTTTTAGAAGGGTCTGTAGGCCTCCACATTCATTTTTCAGATTTTGGAGTGTTTCTTTGTCCAAAAGCTCTGCTGTTTCTCTTAGGGTCAGACTTCCTAGGAAAGTACAAAAGTAACTACCTTGAAGACACTTGTAGTTTCATTTCAGCACAAAACTCCAATAAAGTATATTTTCTCATCTTTAATTCCCACATAAGGTTTAATGATCATAAAGAGCAATTAACTCTTATGCTGTTGAATGTGTCATAAAGATTACACTTTCAGCTTGTTACAAATGAAAAGTAAACAAAGCAGCACTTACAAAAGAAAAATGTATTTCATAATCTAAACTAATGCATAAATATTATTATACTATCTACATTCTACAATTGTGTCATTTTTTATAAAGTTTTTATAAATTAAATTTTTATCAGTCTAAATTCTAAACTATTGTGGGGCAAAGCATGGATAAAAATGGCAGCTTAAAACTTACAAACAGGAATGTACAGGAGTTAAAACACTTTGTATTTCACAAAACAGTCAGTTGAAGAACTATGAAAGAACTATGGAAAAGTGATCGCACTCTTTTTTAGCAATTCTAGATTAATCATTTTCATTTTTATCACACTCTCATTTCTCATACACATACTGAAACTATCTGTTAAATTCTTAATGTAGAAAACTGTATTATTAATCATTCCTCATCATGTGAATCGTGTCCCTTAACAATGTAACCACCAGTTTTTGAAATGACTGTTTTTTCAGTATCTCCAGGAAACAATTCAATGTTTAACACAAGAAATCTTTGGAACAATACTGAATAAAAAAAAAACTTTCCATAACTTAAAGAATTTTGATAAATAGTTAAAGTGAAAATAACCTACAGAAAATCATGAAAATGCTCTTCAAGTGATTAAATCCCAAAAATATTTTTAGAGGGACAAAGTGCAAGGAAATGCTGGTTGGTGATAAGTAAAAGAGACTGAAGACAGAGTCATTAAAGTAGAATTAATTATTAAGCTTTTCATAAAACAGCTGGTGTTCATACCATTAATATATCAGTTAATATGATATGAAATCAATTATATCCTATCAACAAACAATGTAAAGGCTTGAGAATATGTGAGGGTACAGACTGAAATTGACATTTTGATATTTTGATATGCTAACCATACGCAACAGGATTTATACCTTACTTGTAACAAAATTTTAAAAATAAATAAACCATCCTCTAATCATGATTTATTTACAAAGTTCGTATTTAATGGCAAAAAACCCCAAAAGTACTCTTTGTAATTTGCGACTTGGCACGTAGGTAGAAAAAGTGATTTAATCAAAGACTAAATCAGGTTAAAGACAATTGAGGGACTTAATTTGTGGCCATTATACAAGGGTGGATTGGGATCCCAGTAAGAATGGTGAGAATGGCAATGTATTCATCATGTGACTTGGTTTATTTGTAAGAAGGTTAGTGTGTATTTGTGAATCACTTATATTTTGTTATTTTTCTCTCAGAGGAGTAGAAAAAATAAAATTGGGACTGCTTATTTCAAATCAAAAGATATACTACATTAAAATCATTGTTGCAAGGCTATAATTGGTAGAATTTGCCAGAAAATATTCACAAAATTATTGGAGCTTCACCAGAGAGTTTCTTAGTTTCTACCCTAAGAAAGTCTGATTATAATTGCCAGGTTTTGGTCATAGTACCATAGCAACGATGTAACCCTCAGGCAGTGGTTAAGAAAACTATTTTTTTTACCAACTCTAGTGCCACCAGTTAATGAGAATTTAAGAGTGACATATTAAAGTACAGTAGAAGACGTAGTCAAAAGAAAAGTCAATAGCAACAAAAGGTATTACATTTTATATTTTTAAAAGAAAGGTTTGGAAACAGTGAAAGAGAAGCTTGTTAGCCCTGCTGATAGCCTGGGGGTAAATCATACACTTAATGAACCCTAACAAAAATGTATGTTGCTTGGATGCAATATTTAAATATATATAGATTCAAGACAAAACAACACTAGCAACTCTTGTCTGAACTTAGTTAATTCAGCTGGTTGCATATGAATGAAGATAAGTTATAACACTTAATAAATGTACTTAGTTTATTTATTACAGCTTCCTTACTTAGGAAGTTGTAATGGGTAGATTCTAGTATTATGTCAGCCGAGTTATAATCCGTTTCAATTCTCGGAATGTACTGTGACCACAGCTCAGATCCGCCAGGGAAAACTTTGCTGTGTTATCAAAACCGTTGAGGCTGTCCACCCACAAACCATCAGGTTTAAGCAGCAGTGAAGCTTTATAATTGAAGGTGACAGAACAGGGAACAGCACATCCTCTGATAGTATCCACACAAATCCCTTTCCATCACAAACTCAGATGATCAGACCTTTTAAAAACATTCAATCTTGATGAACTAGTGATGAACCTGATGAACTAGTTTGTGTGTGCTTTGAATGGGTTTTTTACATCTTTACTATATGCTTGTTCCTATAGATTTTTAAAATATTAATTACATTGATATGAAGACCATAGTCTTAGCAGGAATTTCCTTTTTGGTATTAGATTTCCATAAAGAAAAACAGCTGCTATATTTAAATAAACCTACCAAGCGTCAGCTATGATTACAGCAATTTTTGTTTTATCTCTATGAAAACAGCATACCTACTATACAAACACAGAAACTGTTACATTTTAATAGTTAACATTAAATCACTATATATATATATGTGTAGCTTCCAATTACAAAATATCCTAAGTACTTTGCAAAGTCAGAATTCCTTAAAATAAACCTATACTGATGCATATTGAAAATATTATAGTTTTACTTCAACATTAAGTATCATATTTCAAATCACTCACGTCAAGAGATATTTGATTACTTTACTCTTAAATTAAATTAAATATAATTTTATATGTAACTTTTTTCCCTGAAGATATAAATCATGGAATTTATCAAAAAGAGTAAGAGGGTTTTCTGTTTTATTTATTTACAGTATATGCCGACACATACAGTATGTTTGTAAAGCTTTTTAGGACACTTTTTTTTCCATATTCTGCAGCATGGCTCCCAGCTACTGAATTATATTATATTGTTACAGCTTTATGACTTTCCCTAGGATTTTTTCAGTTGTAGCCTTTATTTACATAATCGTAAGAAAATCACAGCGAGTTTTAGAGAGTCCCAGCGCGCGCCCGTTACCATCAGTTGTGTAGTGTGACACCCCCAGCGACTCAGTCATAGCGCTCTTAACACCCCTTACGACTCTCTGCGACTGGCTACGACAAAATCAAACTGGTTTGACTTTCTCGTAGCGAGTGGCAAGTTGTAGGGGTGGGCTCTTTTATCTGCGACAGTCAACAGCCATTGAGCGCTCAACCAGACGTACAATGCATACAATGTGGCCGTAAGGAAGGAAGGAAAGCGAGTATTTTGGACTGTGCAACTGGTGGAGAGGCTCGTTGAACTTTGGAGCCAGCACAGATGTCTGTTCAATTTTTCATGTTTGTTGTTAGTTTACTTTAGTGCTCCTCCCCTTAATCCGGTGTCCTCCACGTTGATTGGTTGCCAAAATGAGTCGACCTTGGGGTACTTTCACGGCGCAATACGAGCTGATGAAAAGGTGTGAGGGAGTCATGTAGTCACCCCCTGCAATTCCTAGTCGTATAATTTGACACCCTCTAGGACAGAAAAGGGAGCGAGATTCAGCAACTGCAGTCGTTAAATTTGACATAAGTTGTGTGGAGTCATGGACACCAGCCTTTATGTGACTGAGAAGTGTCTCTTAGATTTTAGATAAAGTCTGTGACACTTGCAACAATAAACAGTTCTACTTCAAAGCAGAGAGGATGTTTGCTGAAGTCTGAGGGGTCCCTTGAGCAGAAACAATTGTAAAGTTTACCTTAGTATACCTAGGTGGATTAATGATTGTCAAGAAGTAGTACAGAAACACATAGTAGATCACATTAAGAGCACAGGAGAGGAAGAATAGGAAGAAACACCAAAAGGGGGTGGGGGTGGGGGGGTTGCAGAAGGAGAAGAGGGAGGAAGAAACAAGGGAAGCAAAGAGTCCCTTGTAAAGTCCGGAGGAGCTAGGACTTGAAGCTTGCGCCAGGCAAGAGCCCCTACTTCATGATTATCCAAACCAAACCTGAATGGAGCTAAGTATTTGAACCTAGTTAGAGAGAGCTTGCTATTCTGTGTTTTAAGGAACTTGGGTTTCCTGGGTAAACGATACCTCAGAAATGTCTTTCCTGCTTAGGGTGCATTTTTATGGATAGGAATATAGGCTCCCATTTATTTTCTGGCATCCGGGGTGCAGAGAGAGAGATTTAACTGCAGTTGCATTGTATTTAGTTAGAAGGCAGCTCATCTCTTGTGTGGCCTCTGTAGGCATATTAAGAGTTTAGTGCTTAGTAGCGATCCAGGGTTTTCTGGGTGACCAGGATCTTAGGCCTCTGAAACGGCCTTGTTTGTAAGTAC